TGCTGTTTGTCCAGGTGCAATGGTTTAAATACATCTCTGGCAAAGAGGAATAGCACATATGAATAAAAGACATCAAATTTAGTCTGTATTCTACCTAAGCTCCTTTCTTGGCAATGAAGGAGTCTGTTATTATATATAGCTAAGGGTATTGGTAACAAAAAAAATAGCATCAGGAGAGGGAAGGACTTCAGTCTCACTTTGCCACCAACTTGTATGATTATGTCTGAGTCATTTCATTTCTCTGGGCCTCTGTTCCTCATCGGTAAAATGTGGGGGTTGAACTAGATGGTTGCTAAAGTCTCTTTGACCTCCAAGGTTCTATGATTAAGTTGACCACTGTAATGAAGGATCTCCCACTCTTGAAACCTAGAGTATGTATGGTGCAGTATCATCAAAATTCAGAGTTGGGAGTTAAGAAACTGGGAATAAATTACTGACTCTTCTTGGCTTTCAAGGCCCTCTATCCACAGTCTAGGACCATCCTACCTTTCCTTGCTTCCTTATTCCCTTACATTCTATTCTCCAGTGAGATTCTAGAGTATTGTCTGCCCCTGAAGCATATATCTTGTAGTTTGTTGTCTCTCTATCTTTGCTAGTACTATTCCCTTTGCCCAGAATGCTCTTCTTAACTTTTGTCATTGGTTAAATTCCTATCCATCTTTTAAATCTCAATTCAAATACCACTTCCAGAAAGTCTAGATCTCTCCTTTGAACCTCAAGCACTTAGTGTACCTCTCTATTCTACTTGTCATATGATATTTTATTTTATAGCTATTGGTGTTTTTGTTTTATCCTCTTACCTATTAGTTTTTTTTTAATTTAACAAATGTTTATTAAGCATCAATTACATACAAATATCTGTTAGGCATTGGGAAAATAAAGAAGGAAATTTTTTTTCTCTCTTAATCTCACTATTAGTACTAAGAACATGTCCTGGAACAGGACACTTCATCTCCCACCTGTGAGCCTTTGCATTTATGGTCTTCCATACCTGGCATGCCTTATCCTCTTCACCCCTGTCTTCCTTTGAGACTCAGTTCGTCTTATCTACTCCAGGAGACCTTTCTAGGTCCCACAGCAATGAATACCTTCCCCTCTCAAAGTGCCTTCCTCTACTCTCTATTCATTGTTCACATGTATCCTTCTGCATTAGAATGTAAGCTCCTTGAGGGCAGGGACTGTATTGCCTTTCTTTGTATTTCCAGCACTTAGCATAGTGCCTGACTCATATAAATGCTCAGTTATTGCTTATTGACTTAACATACTTGAGGGCAGGCAACATGTCCTATTGAAACACGGCCTATTGGTATCTTTGGTATCTACATTGCATAATGTTCTGCACACAGTGGGTACTTATAAATATTTGCTGAATTACTGAATGACCTTGACTCAAATCCTGGCTCCTCTATTTATATCCCTATGACACTGGGCAAATGACTTTAATCATTCTGGGCTTCAGTTTCCTCGAAGCCTGTAAAATGAGTAGGTTGAATGACATAATTGCTGAGGTCCCTTCCATCTCTACCATTCTATGTTGTAACATTTTGAGCTGGAAGGTTCTTCTATGCTCTAAGATTCCTTCCAGCTCTGATTTTCTGTTTTGACATTTAGCAGTCTCTGGTCCTACTTGTTCACAAAGTGAAGCCTTATGTAATTGAAGGCCCACTTACGGAATCATAGGATTGAGAGTTGGAAGGGACTTTGGAAGCCATCTAGTCCAAACTAATTATATGGTTGAAGAAACTGAGGCTCAGGGGAGTTAAGTGCCTTGCTCATGGTCATACAGATAATAAGCATCAGGAGTAAGGTTGGGCCATTGGTCTTCCAGGCTTTCTCTCTAGAACTCTGTTCACTGTGCCAGGCTGCTAATGTTGCATCATTCACCTTCCTGCCTGCTCTGCCCTTCCCTCTCCCCAGTCTCTCCTATGTCATTAAGGTAACTTTCAGGAGTGAGTACTTTTGGAAAGCACAGCTCAGTTTTATAGAGACTCATCTGGGTGACTTGAGCTTAGATTTCAGGGAAAAGGTTTCCTGGATGAGTCAAGAGCTTACGGTTAGAAGCACCTTTGTCTGTGTCTAATATTCCTTCAACCAAGAGTTGAGAGAACAACAGGGCAAGACAGATGCTTTGCAGGCAGCTGAGGGGAAGGCTTCCCTCATTTAGAGCTATGAAAGGAAACCTGGACCTTGATGGGTGTAATTATGGTTAAAACCTGTATAATTAACTCTGAAAATTGGAGGCTTAGGAAGAATTAAAATAAATGCTTAGTGGAAATTTGAGATGAGGCATGGGCTCAAAGCAGTGGCAGACCACTCTGCAGAAGGCCAGTGGAGCTTTCAAGAAAACAGGAGGGGAAAAAAGTTAGGTGGTGCTGTGTTGGTTCATGTTTTCCCTCTCCTCAAGACATATAGTGCCTTTCCTTGTATTGTAGATGAGGTTCAAGGTCGTCCTTTTCTACTGCAAAGCTCTGTGCCGTGGTACTCTAAACAAATCCACTTCCTTTGTCACCCCTTTGGCCATGGTTGCTCAGCCTCAAGTGATCACCATCTCTTCATCACCAAGTCTTTCCCCTTCTGTTTGTTGAGCTGCTCTTCTCTCCCTTTATTCAAACACCTGATTCCTCAGGACCTCCAAAAAGCTTTTGTGGCTTGACTAAAACTGAGTGGAGTCTTGCTGGGCCACACCCTATCCAGAGTTGGAATTCTTGAAGGATCATAGATTCAGTGTTAGAAGGGATCCCAGAATCATCTAATTCAATTCACTTACCTTACAGATGATGAAACTGAGGCCCAGGGTGATTATGACTTAACTCAGGGTCCCATAGGTAGTAAGCATCAGAAGTGGGATTTGAACACAGATTTTCTAACTTCAGGACCAAAACCTTGCTATGTGCTATGTTCCTATGCCTCTTCCTTCTCCTGAAATTCTCCCAAATTATGTGTTTATTCATGGCCACCACTCTGAAATTCATTCATTAATTTAATACACATTTGTTACATACCTGTTATGTACTGGGGTACTATGCTGTTTACTCCAGGATATAAATGTAAGACATGGTCCCTGCCTTTAAGGAGCTTTACATGGAGATAATACATTCAATAAATTCCTTAAGCATTATTTTAGCCTCTACCATTTGGAAGAGGTGTTAGTCCTTCCTGAACACTCTCCACACCCCTCTGGTGTGAGGGCTTGCCAAGCTCTTTTAGGGCTGCTCATCTACTTTTGGTGTCTGCTTGTCACCCAGCTTTCACCTGTGGCTCCAAGAAGTTGCAGCATGTGCAGTGGTCACACCCTGGTAGAACCATCTTGGCAAATGGACTAAACCACATTGAGGGTAGTTGGTGAGTTATTAGGGGGATGGCTACCACAATCATGTAAGACTTGCTCTGGCGACATTGACTCTGAGGATTTCTATCCTCATATTGCTGAGGATGGAGATTGTAAGATCAAGTCAACAAGCACTTATTAAGTGCCTACTGTGTGCCAAGCACTGGGCTGTGCTGTGTCAAGCACAAGGAAGAACTCTGTTCCCAGTGTTTGCTCACTCCAATGGGCTGTGGCCATGGAAGGTCCCTTTTCTGTAGGCATCTCAATGGCAGTAGTGACAGCTTCCACTTCTATGGTTCAGAAATTTACTTCAAACCAACAGTTAACAGTTAAGTCAGAAAATTTGACTATGGAGTTCTGTTGCTGAGTTATAGCTTTGAAGGAAGGGATAAAGAGCAAAGGAGACATATTGAATCTTCATGAACAGTTGAGATGAGAGCTTGAAGGACAGAGGCTACACCCTCATGGACATAGACCTGTGACAGTAACTGTGGAATTGCCATTGAGGACAACTACCTTGTGCGCTTGGAGTCAATCACCAATGTGAGTGATTATACTTCTTCCTAAAGCTAGGAAAGAACCAGTGACATATTTCTAGACCCTTCTCCAAGCAACTCCTGGAACTCTCATGGGCCATATTGCTTGAATCTAACCTCTGTGTGCTGTGTTCTTTTTTCTTTACATTTTATTTTTATTATTTTTAAAAATTATTTTTATTCTAAAATCAAATACCCAAAAGAATGGTCATTGACTTATGCATAGAAGAATAGATAAAGAGGATTGCATATGAAATTGGAAGGCTCTATTATGGACAGTGTCTTTTTTTTTTTTTATATCAGCCTGTAACTTTCAAAGCTGCTCTGCTTCTCTGGCGTGCTGTGCTGGATTCTTAGTAGAACTGAAAGAAACTATTCTCAACATTCCCTTATGGTGGACTTGCCAGACAAACTAGATGAGTCTCTTTTCTCCCCTTGTAATTCACCCATGAACCCCTTTTTAACTTTAAAGAAAAAAAAAACTTTTCATAGGTTTAAAAAAAAGGTGAAAAGGTGCGGTTTCACATCTAAATACAGTACTTGGTCCTTTCTGCTATTCCCATCCTTCCTACCTTTCCACCCACTTGGAAGTAAATTTTGAGATTAAAGAGAGGTTCTCCATGACTCATTCTCCTAGGCAGATGGTTGCCACAGCTCCCCCTCTGGTGGCTTCCCCCGATGGTGTGGGATCTTCCCCAAAGGCCTTGGGTACTGTTGGGGTAATGAGTGACAACTGTGTAGTCTGACAGAAGCAGTTCTTGGCTGTTGGTTTTTCAGAATGTTTAAATAGTTTAGGACTTTTGTGTCCGTGTATTTATTTAGAAGGAATGTGGGGGTCCTTGCTGACTCAATATAATTTTGTTGTTAATGGTGGTATTATGGTTGAAATCTACTGTATTAAACCTGGGGAAGGCATCCTTTGAATGAGAACCATTTCATCTGTGGCACAGCACAGAGTTTGGCTTTGATAAAGAAAAAATAAATAATGCAGTCTATATTTTTCACTTCAGTGCAGATTAGTGTTTGAAAAAATGTATCTACTTATTGTGATACTGCTTCCTGGTTTATTTGAATCCAAAGCTATCTTAAATGATACTTGCAAGAACTAAATTTCAATTCTTTTCTTTCTCTCTTAGTTTCTATGTCTGAAGAACATTCGGACCTTCTTGAAAGTCTGCCATGATAAGTTTGGGTTACGAAACAGTGAGCTGTTCGATCCTTTTGACCTGTTTGATGTTCGAGATTTTGGGAAGGTAAGCTTTGTTTTTATCCATGGTCAGCAGCTCTGCTGGTTCATGCCAGGCTGATGGCTGTCACAGAATCACAGAAGGTGAACCAAATAAACATAGCAAGTTTGGGCAACTCTAAAACAAAGACATGGCTTGTTTTCCCCATGCCTCAGGTGTTTGACAGGTGTAGGCTAGGTTATGTTACAGAATAATTCAGAGGTCAAATTGTAGACATACTAGTAGAAATAAGAAAGCAGATTTTAATTCAGAGAATATAAGAGAACTTGTATGGAGTAATGAAAAGGGGAGAAAAGAGCCCCCCAAAAATATAAATGATGACTGGGATGTCAACAAATTCACCATGAAGAGGCAACAAAACTCTGGTTAATACATTGGTTAATGTTGACACTTTACTGTGAAAGTTATAGGATGCATTCCTCCTTCCTGTTAATTAGTAATCTAATTTTTTTTCAGGTAATATCCATAAAGTGGTTATGTGTTTGTTGGGAAGTATCTGTGGTATCAAAACAACATTACCAATATATTTTTAAAAAGAAAGTACTTTTTAATATAATAATTTAGAACGAGGCTATGCATGTGCATTATGACAGGGCTGGGTCCTTGGTGGCTTTGAGTTGAAATTTAGGGCTTTGTTGACAGCTGGTGGTGAGTAGGAAAAAAAGGGAGGGGCATTTATTCCATTCTCAGATCTGGCTTCCTTCAAGACTCAGGTCAAAGTGCACCTTCTGCAAGAGGCCTTTCCTGGTCCTTCCAGCTGTTACTGCCTTCCACTCTGAGATTACTTTCCATCAACTCTGTATATATTTTGTATGTGCCTATACATTTATGTGATGTCTCCTGTAAGCTGTAAGCTTCTTGTGAGGGTAGGGACTGTGTTTTGCCTTTCTTTATATCCCTAGTGCTCAGCACAGTATGTGTCATATAGTAAAAACTTAATAAATGCTTGTTGACTGAGTGATTGGTTGACCAAGGTCAACATTACTGAGACATCTTGAGGATAAACTAGAACATGATGCACAGTGTCTCGGTTCTCTTGAAACAGTGACTTCCAGAGCTGTCCTTCAGATGCTTTTACCCTTAGCAGGAAAATGATTAGGAGATAGAAGCCTGATTTGCAAGTTCATGGTGAATGGGAAGCCCCAAGTTATGGAAAGGCTTAGGCATCATTGGAAAACATGGCATGGATAATATTGCTCATTTTAAATTGATGATGCGGTATCAGGATTGTAATAGCTCTTTGATGGGTCCTGGGACCGGAGTCTTCAGGCACAGAACAAGTTTTTATGCTGCCTGTAATTCAGGCATTCTTAAGTCACTCGGTACTCTTAAGAATCTATGCATTTACTTTACATTTTCTTAAGCGCTGAGTCACCTACTGTAAGAAAGCACCCACTTTTCTCATTACCTGAAGAGTGAATTTCCACTGGCGGATGGGAAATATTATAAGATATTTATTGCCTAATTTATTTTTAGACCATTATCAGAGACTAGCCTGTTTGAGGGAATATGCTTTATGAATATGTGATTTATGAAATGCAAAAGGATTTTTGTTATTTGCAGCTATGAATGTTGCAAGGCCAGTATGCTGAGAGAATTCCTATTACAGTGCTGCTCAGCATCACAGTAGCATAGATTTTAGTTCAAACCATCCCGTACAAGCCTGCTGTGATCTGTGAGGTCTCTATCGATGAAGTCTCAAGCACTTCATGGGAGCCTAATTCGATGTTTAAACACTTGATTCTTGAAAGTCATGTCTTAGGTGGACCTTCTTTTCCTTCGATGGATTCAGATTACTTACTGAATAAAATAAAAACTCCTCACCTTGTTATTCAAAGCTCTCCATGATTTGGTTCCAACTTTTCGAGCTTATCTGCCATGACTCTCACAAATTGTATATTTTAGCTAATGAGCTACACACCACTTCCTCATCCTGTCTTCTCAGACCTCTCTTCTTTGGTGCATTTTGGCCTCCGTACCTGGGATAACCAGCCTCTGCTTTTCCAATCATCGGAATCCTTTTCTTTCTTCGAGTCCCAACTCAGGGCTCACCTTTACATAAAACTTTCCCTGTTGCCTATGCCCCCATCTTTAAATGATGAGATAGTGTGGTGTAGTGGATAAATAGGAACTTGGAGGCAAAAGGACCTGGGTTTGAGTCCTGCTGCTGATACTTACTAGCTCTGTGACCATGGGCAAATCAGTTAACCTCTCTATACCTCTGAGATCCTTTCTAGCTCTAACTCTATCATTTTATAATGTGCCCCTCCTTAAATCTTTCCTATCACTTTGGACATTTCCTAAGCTCTTGTATTATATTTATGTGTGTATTTGTTTTATTACTCTAATAACTTGTGAGCTATTTGAGAGGAGGGGCTGGGCTTATTTCATCCTTGTGCCCTCAGTGCTGACCCCAGGACCCTACCAAGAGTTGGTGCTTCATTAGTAAATGCTAGGTGGCAAAATGGATGAGTGTTGGGCCTGGTGTCAAAAGACATATCGTCCTGAGTTTAAATCTGACACTTGCTAGTTGTGTGACCCTGGACAAGTCACTTAAACCTGTGTGCCATGGTTTCTTCATCTGTAAAATGAGTTGGAGAAGGGAATGGCAAACTACTCCAGTATCTTTGCCAAGAAAACTCCAAATGGGGTTGTGAAGAGTCAGACACGACTGAAAACGAATGGACATCAACAACGACGACAACAACAATAGCGACCATGGTAAATGTCGGTGGAATGGAATTGCTGTGTAGGTGGGAGCCCCTTAGCTTACTGGCTGACCTCAGGAGGGAGGTGTGAATGTGCTGGGTCCTCATCTGCACATCTGTTGGGAGCTGCACCAGACTGAAAGTTGAATGGAATCATGCTTCCCCTATTTTCCACAACCGCTTCTCATCATCACAAATAGTCTTGATTTAAAACAGATTTGGACCTCCCCCCTCAACTTTCCTCTCTGTGGTAGCAAATGGCGGGCCTGTCATGCAATGTCACCAGCAGGAGGTTATGTCTGCTTTGGAGAAAAGGCCTTAAAAGAAAAAAAAAACCTTATTATCTAGAATAACTATACTGAGAAGACAGAAAACCTCAGCCAAGTACATTTTTTGGCCTGCAGTTAACATTCAGAGTATACAGTATATAATTTCATTTTGTTTTGAACTTGCTGCAGCCAAATGTAATGATGTAAGATGTACATAAATGTGGATTAAAGTCTCATCCTATGACCAGCCAACTGTGTGGCTAAGAGGTTTGCAAATGTTAGTTACTCATTTTCAATAATTTGCAATGATTTGGTTCTGGCTTTGGAGAGGATTTCAGTGCAGCCTGAGTGAGCCCCGCCCTCTGTGGTCGATGGCTGCATGTGTTATCTCATCTGCACTCTTGTTCCCAAGATGTCCTGATGGGAAGGAAGACTGCTACAAGTGATGGCAGGCTTCTGTTTGTCCCAGGGATGGGAATGATAGATGGGTTGTGACAAGATTCTAACATAATGCAATTCTAAGGCAAGAAGAGACTTAATGAGTCATGTCATCCCCCCCATCTCTGAATGGATTGTACCAAAACTGTCCCAGAAAGCACATGGGATCATAAGTTTAGAACTGAAAGGGACCATTTAGCTCATTTCCCATGTTTTTGTAAATGAGGACCAGTGAGGCTAAGTGCCTTGTCCAAGGGTATTAAATAACAGACAGAAGTTGAATTCAAGTCTTCTGCTCTTTCTGTAGAATTTAGAATTGGAGGGGACCTTAGAGATGATTGTTGTCATCCTCACTTCTGTCCTTTGAACGGGTGAGGAAACTGAGAAGCAGAGGAGAGAAATGACTTATCTAAGACAATATAAGTAGCAGAACTGGGATCTGAACTCAGGTCCTCTGGTGTTGAGTCCAGTAGTCTTTGCTCTTGAGGCAGCAAGGTGGCACAGTGGATAGAACACTGGGCCTGGCGTCAGGATACTGTCTAGCCTTGGATGCTTATTAGCTACATGACCCTGGGAAAATTACTTAACCTCTGTTTGCCTCAGTTTCCTCATCTGAAAAATGGGGATAATAATAGCACCTACCTCCCAGGGCTGTTATAAGGATCAAACGAAATATTTGTAAAGAGTTTGGTACAGTGCCTGGACCACAGTAAGTGCTATATAAATGTTAGTGGTGATGATGATGATGATGACATCCCCTCATGCCCCTTAAAAATCCAGTGCTACAATCTGACTTGGTAATAAAATTCCATTGTACTAACCTTTTCAACAAGGAAGTTCTCTTGTATTTTTAGCCTAAATATCTCCTGTTGTAATCTCTCTTCCTGCATGAATGCAGATATGTGTGAGGTCTCTATTGCAAATCTAAGAGTTAACAGCATAATGGGGGAAAATACCCCCACTGGATTTGGAATCAGAGGACCTAGGTGTGAAACCCAGATCTGGGTCTTACTTAATTAACTAACTCTTACTTAACAGTTGGGGAAATCACTTAGCCTCTCTTGTCCTCTATTTCCTTCCTTCCTTCTAAAATGAAGAGATTGCACTAGGTGATCTCAAAGGGCTCTTTCAGCTCTAGGTCCTACAATCCTAAGAGTTAATGGACAATAACATGGCAGTGAATGTGGGGCCCTGTTCTGGTACCATTGGAAGAAATAAAAAATGAAATATTCCGCCACCCACCACTGGACTCCTGGCAACAGACAGCTCCCAAATCCAACTTTCCGTCTTCTTGGTGTTTGTTTGGTCAGGTTTTTGTGTGTTTTTCAATCTGTGGTTAGCACTTCCAAGTAGAATTTGAAAGAAGGCCAGCTCTAAGGCTTGGGGATGTGTGTGGTGGTGAGGGGAGTGGGGAATGGAGGGAATTGCTCTGTGGCTCCCCTGCAATGGGGAAGTCATTGTTGAGTTCTTAGGTGGTGTTGTTAGTGCTTCTTGGCTTCTTTGGAAGAAGATCCTATTTGAAAACCCAAAAACAGGAAAAATAAAATTATGTTCTTCACATGCTGGCCATATTTAACTGCTTCCATGTAAT